AGAGGGTTTGGAGTTTAGAGTTTAAGGTTTAAGGGGCCCTCGACGCTAAACCCTAAACTCTAACCCTAACCAAGCCTGACAGGGCTGAGGTCTTAGGGTTTAGGGGTTTGGGCCAGCCCCAGTTCCACACACAAACCATTTAATCCCTCAGCCCCATGACTCCCACAAGAACGCGAAACCTGAGAACCTGGAGAGCCCTTCAAACCAAAACTCTACTTCTCAATAGCCAACTCTAGTTCTCAAGAGCCTTACTTGAAAGCCACTTATGCTTCATGCTCCTTGTGCACACATGTGTCCAAGCATCGTCCATGACTCCTACCTCTTCGAGAATAGGAATAACCCTACCTCAAAGACACCATAAATTCTAAGCCCTAAACCCTAAACCGAGATTGAGCTCTGATGGAGTCATGGAAGATGCCTTTGTCGGATCCGCCCCTGACAGAAGACAGCCCCAACCTGCCTACCCTTTAGGCCCTTATCCCTAGCCTCCAAACCCTGAATTGCAAACCCCAAAAACCCCAACCCCTAAACCCAAAGACATCCCATAAACCCGACCACGAAATGACGCCAAAAAGTATGGGGCCTCACACCCTATTAAGGCCTGGAACTATTAGGCCTTTCACGGCTCATTACAGCAGCGACAGTCGTCGTCGCCGGCGCCGCGGCAGCAGAAGCACTAGTCACTAGTAGTCGTCGTCGCAGCACTCTAGGCCCAGGCACATCGTCTTGCTTACACGGAACTCCTTCAGCTGCTCACCTCAAGACGCCGGTGCTATAAACTGTGGTGGCTCCATATTCTGCCCCCAAACCCCCAAATTATGGGTATTGCAGTATAGAAGCATAATTGGCATAATTAAGAGGGGAAGCAAAGTAGGCCAGAGTATGCTAAGGAACCCTAACCGGCGATATTTAACCCTAAACCCTAAACCTTATAAACCCTAAACCCTAAACCCTAAACCCTAAACCTTATAAACCCTAAGTCCTACAGGACGATATTGCTAGTTTTTCAGGTCTCGGACCCTCGGAGCAAAGTTGCGGCCCACCCGCCCCGAAGCCAACCATGCTGCGAAGGATGCGAAGCACAGGTTCGGCAGTACAGGGCTTTAGGGAGTAGGAGTTTAGGGTTTAGGGTCTGGAGAGTAGGAGTTTAGGGTTTAGGGTTTAGAGAGTCGTAGTTTAGGGTTTAGGGTTTAGGCAGTGGGAGTTTAGGGTTTAGAGAGTAGGAGTTTAGGGTTTAAGGTTTAGAGAGTCGGAGTTTCGGGTTTAGGGTTTAGGGAGTAGGCGTTTAGGGTTTTAGAGTACGATCTGCTATGAATATGTAGAAAAGACGTGTAAAGGAATGCGATCTGGAGCGTAATGAGTTTTCGGACTCTCCGGTGTTGCAGACTTTAGCTGTTCGCCATGGACCCTAAGCCCTAAACATTCAACGCAAAGCCCTAAACCGCCAACCCTACAAACCCCAAGCCCCAAATAAACCCCAGACCCCCAAATCCTGAACCCTAAACCCTAAACCCCAAATCCTAAACCCTGAACCCTAAACCCCTAATCTAGGGGCCTTAATAATTAGAATAGGGTTTGGGGGTATATTCTACTAGAATTAGAATAAGGAACCCCCAAAGCAGCATAGGTAATTATTTACTATAGGCCCCATAGTAGTTCCTTTATGGGATTACCTAATAGGATCCTAAATATAAGCCACAAAGAGGAACCACTATGGGGCCTGTGGGTAAATTACCTATACTCGTTAGGGGGTTCCTTATTCTAATTCTAGTATAATATACCCCCAAAACCCTGTTCTAATTATTAAGGCCCCTAACCCTAGACCCTTATAGTAGCCCTTTATAGAACCCTTTAAAGGAACCCTTCAAAGGAAACCCCCAAAACCCTGTTCTAACTCACACCCTAGACCCTTGTAGTACGCTTTATAGAACCCTTTAAAGGAACCCTTTAAAGGAAAGCCCCAAAACCCTAGCCCCTACAAATCGAATCCCGGGCCGAGCTCCTCCGAGTGGCTCAAGGTCTCCACGCTCTGGAAGTACGCTCGGAAGGTCGACGCTGCGGGGAAGAGGATCCTCAGCCCAAGGGTTTAGGGTTTAGGGTCTAGGGTTTATAGGCGTTAGGGTTTTAGGGTTTAAGGTTTAGGGTTTAGGATCCTCGGCCAAAGGTACAGGGTTTAGGGCTTAGGGTTTATAGGGGTTTAGGGTTTAGGGTTCATAAGGGATCATAGGGGGTTTAGGGGTAGTTTAGGACTTATAGGATCCTCAGCCCATGGGTTTAGGGTTTAGGGTCTAGGGCTTAGGGGTAGTCTAGGATCCTCGGCCAATAAGCTTAGGGTTTAGGGTTTAGGGTTTAGGAAAGAGGATCCTCAGCCAATAGCTTAGGGTTTAGGGTTTTAGGGCTTAGGGTTAAGGGTCTAGGGGTTTAGGGTTTTTGAGGGTTTGGGGTTAGGGTTTAGGGTTTAGGGGATCCCCAGCCCATAACTTAGGGTTTAGGGTTTGTAGGGGTCTCGGGGTAGTTTAGGATCCTCAGCCAAAGGTTTGGGTTTAGGGTTTAGGGTTTAGGATTTAGGGTCTAGGGTTTAGGGTTTAGGGGTTTAGGGTCTAGGGTGGCAAGAGGATCCTCCGCCAATAACTTAGGGTTTAGGGTTTGGGGTTTACACGGATTTAGGGGTAGTTTAGGACTTATAGGGTTTATAGGGTGTATAGGGGTTTACAAGGGTTTAGGGTTCAGGGCTCTAGAGCGGTTGATCACTGCTTCAACAGGGGTCCTTAAGCACAATTCAAGGAAACCACAGGTGGGGAGTTTAGGGTATATAGGGCTTCTATAAGGTATATAGACCTTCTATATGATTCGCATAAACGGTAACTACCCACCTGAAAAATGTCCTAGACATAAGGGAACGAGGAGCCTTGGCTAAGAATGGGGCTCTGGGTTTCTGTTTCTGTAGTGTTGATTTAGGATTGTCTGCTGGTGAATTGGTTCGTTCGCGTTTAGAGTTTAGGGTTGGGGACTTGTGTGCAGGGAACCCTAAACCCTAAACCCTAAACCCTAAACCCTAAACCCTAAGGGGATAGGGTAATGACGGGGGGTTCAGGGCTCAAAAACAAAGATCTGCCTGCGATGAACTGCTTCTTGGACTATGGCAGGCCCGGCTCCTATGTCGCACGGACATGTGTTAGGGTTTAGGGTTTAGGGTTTAGGGTTTAGGGTTTAGGGTTTAGGGTTTAGGGTTTAGGGTTTAGGGTCTTCAAGATAGAAGCAAGTACATGTCAGGACCACCACAAGACTTCATGCATCGCTACAACATGTACCAAAGGGTTTGGGGCGAGGCTTCCGGGTTCCACGTTTTACACAGGCAAGGCCAATGAAATGAGAGAATATCCTGCTGTGCTGGAACATATCGTGGGGCTTCTAGTATATGGTTTAGGGAGCTGAAGGCATCTTACTTGATGAAGCCTCGTCTGTCAAAGCCCCTGAAGCATTTGTGTGGATTGGGGGGAGTCGTGCTAACCACCCAAGCCTTCTTCCAAGGAGCAAGAGCAGGAGAGGGCCAATCACGGCCAAATACTCCGGCCCTTCCCGGTTGTGCGAGATCATGACCTCGGGAAGAGAGGGACTTCAACACGGAAAGGACTTGTAAACTGCCATAAACCCTAAGCTTTTACGGTTTGGTGCTGAGAGATGTCGACAGAGAAGGGTTTTTCAGCTGGTTGAGGTACAGGGCTTGTGGCAACGAGTGGAGCTTACGAAGCTCCGGTGAAAACCTCGCCTTGCATTGCCGCAATGACCTTTGACTTGCTGACAGAGATAGGCCCTAAACCCTAAACCCTAAACCCTAAACCCCAAAGTCCAAACCCCTAAACCCTAAACCGAACCCTCACCATCCCGGTTGTGTATGCAAGCCCCAAACTCAAGGTTTAGGGTTTAGGGTTTAAGGTTTAGGGTTAGGCAAACTCGCAAACCCCAGCTTCTAAAACTCCGACCCCCCCAAGTCCCAAACCGTCAAACCATGAAGTGCTAATCACAAGTACGTAAACTCCAAGCATGATTCTGGCTCCGTAACCTGCAACGACCAAAAGAGCACAAGATTGGACAAATGAACCGGGTGTTGATTGGTCTGGGGTTTTCTGGTTTAAGGTTAAAAGTTTTAGGGTTCAAAGTTTCAGAGTTTCACAGCTGTGGTTCTTGGGGCTTTGAGGTGCCCAAAACGCAATGCCTTGGCACTTAATGCTGAAGTTCTTGTCCCGCCGCGCTAAACCCTACATCCTAGTCCCTTCATGCCTCTACTCCCGAAGCCCTAAACCCAAAGCCCTGTACCCTAAACCCTAAACCCTAAACCCTAAACCCTAAACTCCCGAAACCGAGATGCCGCAAGAATCATCACCATGATGAGCACGGCGAAGAAGATCGACAGGGCGCAGGTCCCGAGAAGTGTGGGCCTCTTGTTTTCGCTGTAGGAGATTAGGGCTTGAGGTTTCGGGGTTTAGGGTTTAGGGTTTTAGGGTTTAGGGTTTAGGGCTTTACCCTAGGAGATTAGGGGTTGATGTTTTGCTTCTAGGTTTCTTGCCGGGTGTGGGGCTTCTTTGAGCTGTATAAGGCGTTGCTCGAGGATGTCATGCCGAGGTCGTCCCAGTTCATGGCCACCCGTAGGTTTCTTGCTGTAATTTGCAGTGGGCTGTTGCACAGGGATCCCAAACTTAGTTTTCGTCCGCCTGGACTGCAACAGGATGAACCGGCTACATACTTGGACCGAGAATACAACGGGTTCTTCAGCACGGACAACCCTAAACCTGCGCCAGCTGTGCAGCACAAAACTCTTTTTAGCATTATGCCCTGTCGTATCTTCATGCCAAGGCTTAGATAGTTCGAAGAGAAGCCCGGTTTAGCCTGATTTGCTGCGCTTTACCTACGCCCGAAAACCCGAATCCTGAACTGTGTCAAGCTTGAAAAATACTATAACTTGAAAAGATACCTATCTTCAGCCTCCGAAAAACCGCTAAATCCACAAATTCGGAAGCCTAGTGCAAAGGGCGCCTGACAACCACATTGCGGCTGCCGTTGCTGGCACGCATGAAGGCGGCAAGTTCGAAGACGCACCACAGCCTTCACGGCGGGTGAAATGGTCGGAACCTTGTTACATGTGCTGTTATGACTGTCCAATGTCTATCCGTTCATGTCGTGACGACGTTGATTGCAGCATTTGCTGATGGTATTCTTGCTTGCTGACGGCATTCTCCATAACGATTCGGCTTCTTGCTGCTGCTGTTGTTGTTGTTGCAGCCACGATTCACTGCAGGCTGGGCAATTCTTGTCAACCGGGCTCCAGTGGGCCTCGTTGTCCGTCTGACTGAGCCATATCTTCTATCTTCTGGAAGCTTGGCCATCGGTCAAGTGAGCATGGTGGCACTGGCACAGGCGGTCAAGGTCCGGGATGTCATACACCGCATCAATGCCTCCCGGCCACCCGCAGCATCATCACGTTCATGCTGGAGATCTGGCTGCGGGCCCCTGGAGAAGGTATATGGGCTTGTCTGGGGATCTGGCTGCGCTGCAGCTGTGTGGCATGCAGCTGAAGAGAGAGAGAGAGAGTCTGAAGAGGCCCTCGTTGGCGAACGATTTGCAGAAGGTGCTGCAAACCTACACAGGCTCCGCCTGCTCAATGCGTCGCAGCATTGTTATGCAAACTCGTTTGCCTTTGCATTCCTCCGGTGCTTGAAATTGCTGCCAGTGCCTGCACAGCAAGCTTTTGGCGCCAGAGTGCAGGCATGGAGGGACGTGCTCTACCACAGTGTCCCGGTTTCCATATTCACAGGCTCACATCGGAGTTGGCATCGGCCAGCCTTCCAGCATGATGTGGCTGCCTTCATGCAGCATCTGTTTGCACGTGTGTGACCACCCATCCGTTAAGGTACCAGACTCCGTGACAGCTCAACCGAGCTTGTTGGCAAGATGTGCCTGCTGGCAGAAGTGCCGGGCCATTCTCCTCCAAGTTCTGGAAACGTCACAATGCGACTGGGCGCCGGCGAGAATCGCTGCTCTTTCCACGGGACGTTTAGTGGACTTTCGCTGCGAGGGAAGTAGTAGTGGTAGAAGTAGTAGT